ACTTGGTATTCATAAAAGTCATAATTAAAATATCAAATTTTCAAAAATTTAATAACCAAAAATATTCATAAAAGTCATAATCCAATCAAATACCAAATTTTCAAAAATTTAGCCAGAAATTCATAAAAGTCATATCGATCAAATATCAAATTTTCAAAAATTTAATAGCCAGAAATATTCACTTGGTATTCATAAAAGTCATATCGATCAAATACCAAATTTTCAAAAATTTAATAACCAGAAATATTCTTTTGAAATATCGCTAAAACCCATAATCGATTAAATACCAATATCACGTATTCTCTTTTTTTTCATAAAATTCTTCTCATCAAAATCTAACAGGAAACGCGGAGAAACACACACTCACTTGGTGTTGATGAAGGCCATGCCCTCGGCAACATTGACAGAGTACATGGGTCCGCTATAATTCCTGGCGAACAATCTAAGCGAGTGGGCGTTGATCGTCTTCATCAAGTTGAAGGTGAAGGATCGTGTGAGATTCGCCGGTTTGCTCACCAAATAGTTCATTCCACCTATGGCCACGTGATCCTGAAGATTGCTTCCCACTCCAGCCGCATCGTGGACCACGGAGATGTTCAACTCTCTCAAATGATCCTTCGGGCCTATCCCGGACACCATTAACAACTGCGGCGATTGTATCGCGCCCGCTGACACAATCACCTCCCTATTGGCCCTCACGATTCGACGCGAGTTCCCTACTCGAAACTGAACGCCATAAGCCTTCTTCTTCCCTCCATCTGAAAAAAAAACCGCACACCTTTTCCTTTTTTTTTTTTTTTTTTTTTTTCCTTCTTTCTTCGTTTCAGAACAAGTTTACAAGAAATAAAACCAATAATAACCGTAATAAGTTAATGTGTATAATAACGTAACAATGTATTTCGCGATCTTACCGCTTTCACTTCTTTCGGGATCTAAAACAAGTTGAAAGGATGAAAAGAAAATTCTTTATGTAAAATTTTGCAAAATCTTTAACTTAGATCTATTCAAAATTTCTTCAATATTTTCGTTTAATTTATATAAGAATTTGTATAAGATCAATGTTCTCGAAATTGTTAATAAAATAATATATATATATATTGCTTCTTAAGTCTGATTCATTTGTGAGAAATTTAGAAAGATTCTTTATGTACATCTATCTTATCTATTTTTAATTTAAGAATTAATAAGAGAATTAAAAGAATTGATATCAGATCAACGACAATGTTCTCAAAATTGTTAATAAAGTAATATATATATTGCTTTTTAAATCTGATTCATTAGTGAGAAATTTAGAAAGATTCTTTCCAAAAGATTCTTTATGTATATCTTATCTATCTTTGTTTAAT